CTGGCCCCTTCTGAGCCCCTTCTGAGCCGGCGGGGCCATGTGTTTCAAGGGTTGAGGGCTAGCCGTTTTTGGCCAACAGGCAAACAAATTGCACTCAAGCTTAGTCAAAATCTTTGCATTAGTAACCAGTACTTTGAGCTTTTGTCATGTATCATTAGTGTGGTAGAAAATACGATCTGTGTTACAGGACTGCAAACTGCAGTACGGGTGTTCAACGTCTGCGGAAGTTAAGATCGTAAAGATTGGGACGGAAAAGGCGAAAGATAGTCATTACCTTGCGCGTTTTTCCTAATTGTGTGGAGGGGGGTTCAATAAATTTTCCCACAATACTCCCGCTATGAATCACCTCTACGTTCGTTAAATTTCACGCCAGCTCGAAAAAAAACTAGAGGAGTGTAGGCGCGGGCATGCTGGCAGAGCGAATTCTAGTAGTTTTGGTATTGGGCCTTATTCGGGATGTCAAGCAGTTTTTCTGTTATGCTTTGTGGTGTAACGTGGGTCAAATTATGTACTAATTCCCTGTTTACATAAGCGAAGTCGATGTACTTCCGTTTTACCGGTGTTATCACATAAGAGGAGACTGGAAGTGGGTAATGCATTAATTCGTAATCAGTTGTTAAAAGGTTTCAGTCGAATTTCTTCAATAAAGTTTGGGCGTCATCAGTAACAATTAAATCTAATATACTACGGATTCTAGTCAGTAAGCTGACCAAATGAGAAAATAAAAAAAGGGAAAAGTATCTAGAACGAAGAAGAAGAAGAAGAAGAAGAAGAAGAAGATGATGATGATGATGATGATGATGATGATGATGATGATGATGATGATGAATACTGAGGTTGATGATGATGATGATGATGATGATGATGATGATGATGCTGACGGTGACGTCAGTAATAATAATAGTAGTAATATTAGTCGTAATATTAGCAGTATATGTTGACGATGATGATGATGAATATGATGATGATGATGATAATGATGATGAAAGGAAGGACCGCTGGTACAGGATTTTCTTCGCCTGACCTTTGGACACCGTTGCGATTTCCTCATCAGAGACATCAGTAGAAAACAGTAGCAGAAACCGGCATAGTGTTGACCAATTTCTGCAGTTTTGTTGGAGAAGTATTTGCATACCAGCCAATATCTGGCATATTAACGTTCCCTAGGATAGACTTGTCTAATGAGTTCACAATGCTGGCTTTCATTCATTCAGTCGGTCTGTATGTCCGTGTAGTTTAGGAAAAATAGGATTACGCCTTTGAACTCCCTTTCTACACATCAAAATTTCAAGAATAAGAAACAATATTAAGAAAGTACGGTAGGCTGAAAGTAGACAGAGTCACATCGTGCATTGGTATTTTAAGGTTAGTTAGTCACATAGATTATGCTGTGCTGCAGCATATGGATATTAAGTC